GCCATAATAATCATATACATTGTATATTGACAAAATAAAAATTTAAAAAAAAAAAAAAAGTCTTTAATTCACTTTCATTGCTGAAAGATATTTTGATGGATTCACTGGATTGGCAGGCTCATTCATTCATTTATTTGTTCTGTTTCATTCTTTTCATTTTAAAGATGTTCATTTTCTTCTGGCTTACATAGTTTCTGACAAAGTGTCTGCTACACCTTCCCCCCCCCCCCCCAATGTAATGTGCCTGCCTTCAAGATTTTCTCTTTATCTTTGGTTTTCAGCAGTTTGAACATGATGTATCTAGGTAGGGGTGTGTGTGTGGTTTTTGCAGTTCTCTGAGCTTCTTCAATCTGTAGTTTGATATGTCATTATTTTTAGAAAGTTCTTAGTGATTATATTTTTGAATATTTCTTCTTCCCTCTTCTCTCTCTTTCTACTGGGATTCCAATTGCACATATGTTAGATTGTTTGATATTGTTCCACATCTCTTGGATAATCTGTTCTCATTGTATTTCACTCTCTGTACCCTTTCTGTTTCAGTTTGGGTCATTTCTATTGACCTATATTCAAGTTCATTAATTGTTTTTTCAGCTTTGTCTATTGTAAGGATGAGCCCATCAAAGCCAAAATCTCTGTTATCACATTATTGTTGTTTTTTATATTTCTAGCATTTTTATTCAACTTTTTTTTTTTTCCTTTTTGTCTTTTTTTCGTGACCAGCAATGGATCACAACCCTCAGTGTCGCGCCCGTACCGGACCGGGACCGGCAACGGGATCGCAACCCTCGGTGTTACACCCGCACCTCGCTCAGCCAGTGAGCGGCCGGTCTGTATGTGGGATCCGAACCCTCGGCGGGAGCGCCACTGCGCTCTCAAGCAGCGCACTGTAGCAGTGCGCCACCGGGCCGGCCCTTTATTCAACTTTTTATAGTTTCCATTCCTCTGCTAAAATTCCCCCATCTGTTCCTGCATGTTATCTACTTTTTCCATTAAATTCTTTAATATAACAGTCATTTTATAAAATAAACTTTTTGTTTTTGAAAAGTTATGAAGATGGTACAGAAAATTCTCATATGCTCCCCATACTCAGTTTTCCCGTATTGTTAGCATCTTGCATCAGTGTGGTACATTTGTCACAACTAATGGACCAATGTCAACAAATTATTATTATTAAGTAAAGTCCAAACTATATTCAGTTTTCCTAAGTTTTTGCCTAAGGTCCTTTTTCCGATCCAAGATAAAACATATTTAGTTGTTGTGTCTCTCTAGATGGTGACAGTTTCTCAGTCTTTCCTTGTTTTTTATGACCTTGACAGTTTTGAAAAGTAGTGGTCAGTTATTTTGTAGAATGTCCCCCAACTGTGGTTTCTCTGAAGTTTTTTTTTCATGATTAGTTTGAAGTATGAGGAGGAAGACACAGAGGAAGAGTACTATTCTCAACACAACATTTCTTTTTTTTTTTTTTTTTTTTTGTCTTTTGTCTTTTTCCGTGTCCGGCAACGGATCGCAACCCTCAGTGTCGCCCCCGTACCGGACCGGGGACCGGCAACGGGATTGCAACCCTCGGTGTTGCTCCCGCGCCTCGCTCAGCCAGTGAGCGGGAACCAGTCTGTATGTGGGATCCGAACCCTCGGGCGGGAGTGCCGCCGCGCTTCCCAAGCGGCGCACTTATCCAGTGCGCCACCGGGCCGGCCCCCAACACAACATTTCAACTACTGATGTGAATACTGATCACCTGGATGAGGTAGTGGTGGTCAGATTTCTTTACTGTAAAGCTACATCAAACTAAAATTCTTTATCCATAGCATCAAGTGTGAGGGCAGTGAGTAGGGATACAATGCACACAGGTTGGTAAGTTAGGTGACAGCAAAAGGATTTCCTGCCGAATCACTGACATATAAAGTAAATTGGCTCTGCCATTTAAATGTATGAGGGGTCTCCAAAATGTTCATACCGGACCGGGGACCGGCAACGGTATTGCAACCCTCGGTGCTGCTCCCGCGCCTCGCTCAGCCAGTGAGCGGGAACCAGTCTGTATGTGGGATCCGAACCCTCGGGCGGGAGTGCCGCCGCGCTTCCCAAGCGGCGCACTTATCCAGTGCGCCACCGGGCCGGCCCCCAACACAACATTTCAACTACTGATGTGAATACTGATCACCTGGATGAGGTAGTGGTGGTCAGATTTCTTTACTGTAAAGCTACATCAAACTAAAATTCTTTATCCATAGCATCAAGTGTGAGGGCAGTGAGTAGGGATACAATGCACACAGGTTGGTAAGTTAGGTGACAGCAAAAGGATTTCCTGCCGAATCACTGACATATAAAGTAAATTGGCTCTGCCATTTAAATGTATGAGGGGTCTCCAAAATGTTCATGAAAATATTCGTATTATATTTTAATTCTATTTTTCCATGAAGATTTTGAAGTTCCCTCATACCTTATAATCTCTACAGTTAGTGACTATCATGCTTTATAGTTATCAGATTTTGCCCAAGAAGTCATTTTTTAATATCTGCTGCATTTTTTAAAAGAAGATAGAATTATCTCTGTGATATGTGTTTTGCAAGAATAGCATTCAGCTTTAAATATTCTATATCCAATATGCAGAATCATGTTATATGAATATTGGATGTCCTTTTTTTAAAGACTCAAGGACAAAAGAAAGTTGCTAGCATGATAGAAAGTAAAGAAGTTCACAAAGGAATATTTCAGATCGAGTGGGAACATAAGAAAATGGAGATGGAAATGGAAGATCTAAATCAGAAGGCTTGGGATATTCAGATGCTGTTTTTTTCAAGAGAGCGTCAAAAGGTAAGTTCTCCCTGTCCCCTTGCATAATTTTAATGTCATTTATTTATGTATCCATTCATTTAACCAGTATTTAATAAGAAGCCTCTGTGATGCCAAACATATCCTATGCCAAGAGTGTTTCCTAATGTCTGTGAATTCTGTCTTTGCCTTCCAGTAGTTTACATTTGCTGCCTCTGTTTCTTCGTGACCCATTCAGTAGTATAGTTCTATTTTACAGTTCTCTAAGGATTTCCCAATTGTCCAATCCAGTGGCCTTTTTCCTACTCATTACCCTCCTTCAATTCTCTGTAGCATCTGACCGTCTTACTTACCCATTCCATTGGCTTTTATTGCCCCTATTTTCTCCTATTTTTCTTCCAACATGTTAACACCCTCTGACTTTTACTGGATTGTCTTTTGCATCTATCTTAAATAAATTCATTAAGATCTAGCCCTTAACTCTGTTTTTCTTTCCATGCCCTCTCCCTTGATAGTCTCTATTTTTCTAACTTTAATGATCACTTCTAAAAGACTAATCCAAGCTGTGTGGATTCCAACCCAAGCTTCATTTCTGTATTTCCCACCTCCAAAAGCTCCTTTACATAATTTACTTATTTGTGTTCTTTTCAGTCACTCACGCAGTCTTAAAGTTTAGTCATCTTTGATTCCCCTCTTTCCCATGCCTTTCAAGTCTTGCCTAGTTTATCTGTTTATTCCCTCATTCTCTATCCTCACTGCCTTTGCCCCAGTTCAGTCCTCTGTTGTCAATGGTTTAAACAATCTCATATCTCTAACTGGTCTCTTGACCCTGGGTCTTTCTCTTATCTAATCTATACTGCATATTGCTGTCAGATTAGTATTCCTATTTGGCTCTAATAACATTACTACCCTACTCAAACATTTTTAACTGCCACCTCTTACCTGGCAAATAAATTATGAAATCCTTAGGTGGGAAGTGTCTTTCAACTTAATGTTTCAAACTCATTTGCAGTATTCTAGTATACATCAGTATTCTCAAACCAAACTTCTTACAACTCTCTAGGATTCCACCTCTGTACTTTCACTCTTATTTGTTCTTCTACCTGTAATGTCTTTCCTCATTTTTTTTTTTTTTTGCACATACCAAATCGATTTTTCAAGGTCTAGTTTAAATGCCACCGCATTCATATAGCCTTTCTTGATTTACCAAGCCTAAAGAAATCTCATCACAAACCACCTTTGAATTTGCATGACTCTGTACATATCTTCTGGAAACTAATCATATCTGTATGTTCCCTTTTTCTTGAAGGCTAGGCCATGTTATCTTTGTATCTTCTTCAGTGTCTTTATCTGGGACACTGTTAATGTGGGACTCAAGTGAGATACTTAATAAGCATTTGGTGTGTTTTAATAAATGAATGAATGAGTGAACGAATGAATGAGAAAACAGACTCCAAGCATTTCTAATAATTACTATATAGATGAATATATTGATGGCTAAATATAAGTAAATATTATGGTACAAAAGTAAAATCAATCTTAGCCTACACAGAGTTATTTGTTATGAAAAACAGTAACTTTCAAAACTAAAACAGTCTTTATGAAGTTATCTATTGAAAGAAATAGAGAAAAATATTCTTACATATGTCGTGGGCTTTTTTCTCTCAAAGTACCTAAATGAACCAAACTATGAGTCTATGATTGCTATTCAGATTGGAATAATGGAGCAAACCATTGCTGTTTTAGATAAGGTAAGTTCAAAGACATTGAGCATTATAATCTCAATAGCCGTGAATCCTTTGAGCAAAGTAATAGTGTTTCAAATTATAAATTCAAACACACCTAACAAAATCTTGGTCATTTACTCGTATTCATGATATATATAATTAGAGGTTCCTGAATAGTGTCTTTGCAACATCACCAGTGGCATAGACTGAAGCACCTCTTTTAATATTAGAATTAACCCCTGGGGACATATCTGAGTGTAAGTTGATTTCCTATTTCACATTAGGTTATGATTTATGTCCAGAAATGTTGATAATCTTTCCTGCATTTTAAGGCTTTGTTTTATCATAACATATGCCTAGTTTTGATTATATAGCATACGTGAGAGGGAAACAAAGTAATCTCAAGCTCTTAAAAATAGTCTCTCATTTTTTTTTTTCCTTTTTGTCTTTTTTACTGACCGGTAACGGGATCGCAACCCTCGGTGTCGCGCCCGTACCGGGGACCGGCAACGGGATTGCAACCCTCGGTGTTGCGCCCGCACCACGCTCAGCCAGTGAGCGGGAACCGGTCGCCACATGGGATCCGAACCCTCAGCGGGAGCACCGCTGCATTCCCAAGCGGCACACTCTCCAGTGTGCCACCGGGCCGGCCCTCATTTTTAAGAATACACAAAATTTTTTCTAAAATGTGGTATTAACATACCATTCTATCTTTTCAGCAAATAATTTGAGTGCCTAGTATGTGCAATAAGGATACTGTAGTAAGATGTTATCATAATGATGAAAATGTATTTAAAATACAAGAATAATGTCTTTATAAAGCAAATTGCATTTTTAAAAAGTTATTTTTGTGGGGCATCATGTAAACAAAAATTTCAGACCCACAGAAAGAATGTGGAAAACTGCAAAAAATTACTCAAAAAACTGGGAAAATTCAGCAATCAAAAGGATGTCGCAAATTATACTCTAAGCTGCAATCTTCGAGAAGAATTGGTAGCTGTCTCAGAGAGAAAAGACATCTGTAATGCAGTGGGTAAGCATTTTTTTCTTTAATCAACTGTAGGTTTCTTTCAGTGTAATCAGTACTCCTGAAATCTATACAATAGTTATAAAGCTACCAGCATTTCTTCCACATCTTTGATTGAATGCTCCTTCTGTATTTGAAAGTATTGATCACAATCCAACTAATTCCTTTCTTCATTTTTGGGATAGGGTCTAAACTAACTTGTGAAAAGATTGTCAAAGAACGATATGAAAACATGATGCAACAACAGAAGTTAACAAATATTGCAAAAGAACAAGCTGAACAGATTTCAATACTACAGGCTGAAGTTGAAAGATTAAGGATGAAAACATTTCCTGCTCTTCTTCCAATGTAACAATGCTGGTGGGAAACCAAAGGCCAAATCAATAATTTTAAAAATCATTTAATTTGGGTAAAATGACTTCTTTTTCTTTCATATTAGGAAATGTAAGTCTCCTCTTAGTTGCATGGTGTTTTTAATAGCAAATTACTTAATTTTAGCCTTAATAGGTATAAAATTTTTTGTCCTGCATGAATAAATGTGTAAACTATTGTGAATTATTGTTTTTATTCAAGGATGAACAAGATTTTAGGTCAGAAAATATTCAAGGTATATTTTATTCATTTAATCTTAACTGGATCAAGGATATTTTCATTGTTACAGTATAGAAAGTCTTTTTTTTTTTTACTGACCGGTAACGGGATCGCAACCCTCGGTGTCGCGCCCGTACCGGGGACCGGCAACGGGATCGCAACCCTTGGTGTTGCGCCCGCACCGTGCTCAGCCAGTGAGCAGGAACCGGTCTCCACATGGGATCCGAACCCTCAGCGGGAGCGCCGCCACACTCCCAAGTGGCGCACTGGAGAGTGCGCCACCGGGCCGGCCCTGGTATGGAAAGTCTTAAAGACAAAAAGAAGGTCTTAGTCACCACTAGCATTTCTAACTTTATAAAATTACCAGAAAAGTTATGAAATTATGAATGATTTTTTATCTTAGTCCTTTTTTTGTATTTCCCAACTTTTCTTCAGTAAGCATTTCACCTATAATCAGAAAAAAATTATCAGAATGTTTAAGATTATTCCCTGTGCTACCAATAATAACAAGGTACATTGTTGACTTTTTCCAAGCCTTAAATCATTTGTAAATTACAACATATTTTGAAAACAATCTATTACATTTCTTATTTATTGGGACAAAACTCAATTTTGTTCCCAATCCAATAGGGTTCATCAAACAGAAAAAAGTCCTTTTTCATTTCCATGAAATAGCATATTGCTTCACTCATTAGATGATGATACATATATAATGAGAAGACTCAACTGGCCAGAAAACTGCTTTGCCCTTCCATAACCTGTGGACTGCCATATCATTGGGACCACTGACCACAATGTCCAAGTGATGTCAATGCCTCACTCTTCTACAATTTATGAACTGAACATTAAGTCTAAGCCATAGTACCATATCCAGTATACACTGGTGTAGGTAAAACAAGAGAGCTATTGGGGCCAGCCCGGTGGCGCACTGCTATAGTGCACCGCTTGGGAAGTGCGGCGGCGCTCCCGCCGAGGGTTCGGATCCCACATACAGACCGGTTCCCACTCACTGGCTGAGCGAGGCACGGGAGCAACACCGAGGGTTGTGATCCCGTTGCCGGTCCCAGTCCGGTACGGGGGCGACACTGAGGGTTGCGATCCGTTGCCGGACACGGAAAAAGACAAAAAGACAAAAAAAAAAAAAAAACAAGAGAGCTATTATAAAATCTTCTATTAAAAAAAAAATTCTTAAGATTTCATTGATCACCCACATAGTGATCGGTGCTAGATGGGATGGTAAGGGAAATGACAGGATCAATATCATTTTGATTACTTTCCTCCTTAGTATTAGAATGACTCCTAAAGTAGTTTGGCTGATTCAGTAGGGAAGTGCCCATTGGTAACATTTTGTACATCCAGGGTCCTTCAAAATTATCCCTAAGACAGGAATTGGGAGGGAAGGTGTAGGGGGATGGACCCAAAGATGGGGGGTATGTGAGGTGCAAATACTTTGTACTAAAATGGGATTGCCAGAAGTTTTCTGTCCTATTGGTTTGAGTCAACCACAGAGGATGTACTAGACTTGATTTTTTTTTTTTTTCTGGTGATACAAATTCCAAATTCCATGTCACTTAAGTTAGCTTCCTGCATACTCCATTTGCTAAGAGCCAGTACCACCAATTCCACTGGATAATGCTCTGTGAATTCCCAGGCCTCCACCAACCAACCAGCTTGTGTCATTTCTATTTCTTAGTCATCAACCCTGGGTTTCTCTGGCAATGCTCCTTGCTTAACTGCTTCAGCTTTGAGACATGGATTGAATGGGGCTTAGAAGGAGCCTCTTGCCCTCAAACTATATTCCAGTAGAAACCTTTTCAACAGATGATACCTTCTGGCTTGTGGGTTTGGAAGGTGCTTTGGGAGGGCACATGGGTCATGCACCCCAACTTTTCTCTTGATACTATTCACAGTACAGACTCCTCTCAGCTTCTGCTAAACAGCAATTATATTTTTATAGTCCTTTAAAATATTATCTATATTACAAACTAGTGATATAATTCATTCAGTCAAACATAGCATAGCCTTAAGAATAGGAATTAAGAATGTGGGCTCTGTTGCTGAGCTGCCTGGGTTCAAATCATGTCTTTGCCACTTAAGAACCACTTAGTTTTTAAATAACTATGCAATCTTAAATTTCTTCATCCTTGGGACTTCTGGTCAAGATGGTGGAATAAACAGTCCTCAGTGTCACTCTCTCCCACAAATCAACCAATTTACAACAATAAAAAAGCAACGACAGCCTAGCTGGGGCCACTAGAGCTCAGGGGAAGAGGAGGAGAGACCTACGGAGCTCATGAAGGCAGGAGAAGCCATGATGAGAGAAAGAAAAAACCTCTCAGACCATTTCGAGCCCCAGTTGCATCCAGACTGGAGCTGCTGAGTGCACAGAGCAGAAGCTGGCAAAAGCTGCAGCTGTGCCCTCCAGATAAAGTTGCTTGGAGGTGGCAGGGGAAAAGAGGGCCTTGGTGACCCCCAGGCCAGCAAGATCACTAATAGGGTTCCCGTGGACCCACATAGGAGTGAAGAGCCAGAACAACTGAAGAAAAGGAGCCACTCAGAGGCCGGTGAGTCATCACAAGGGACCGGCACATGGCCTGTCCCATGGGAAGTGTTTGCACCATGGGCAATGGGGGAGACAGGCCCACTGGGTGAACACTGGGGCACAGCAAAGACCGCTGATCTGCACCCCTATCAGCGAAGGACCACTCAGAGGAGACTGGTCAGGAATATAGAATTGCATAGGGTGGACAGTGTAGGCCAAAACCTCCAGACACAAGTGCTGGCTAAGCTGTCTACCTGGAATGCTACTTTCCTTCTGACAAAGGGATATAACAAGGAGAAAAAAGGTGGAGAACATGGAAGGCTTCTGCCCTAAAGAACATTAAAATGTGAGACTGCTGAGTAACTGTTGCCACCACCAGATGGACTTCGGACTTCCCAGCCTCAGGAACTCCTTCTTTAATATCAAAAGAATCCTGGTAGCTCTCTGCTCTCTATGCTTCTATGATCTTGCAATGTGAGACCCGAGTCACTGTTGCCACCCCCAGATGGACTTTGGACTTCTCAGCCTCAGAATCTCACAACTATCTACCATTATCTGGCTAAATGTTAAATCAGAAAACTGGGAGCGGCAGCAGCGGCATAAGCGGCACAGGCGCCAGCAGCAACAGTGGGCAAAGTGGCACCAGCGGTAGTGGCAGGAGCGGGGGAAGCAGTGGCAGCAGAGCCGGCGGCAGCAGAGCCGGCGGCAGCAGAGCCGGCGGCAGCAGTGTGAGCGGCAGCAGCGGGGGGAACCGGCAGTGGGAGGAGCGACACCCTGCAGTACCGCCCCGTCACCCAGTAGCCCAGCAGAGTCCAAGCTGACCAGAGAGGTGGCTCCCCAGAGAAACCCAAGACCTGAGGTAACCACACACGCAAGGCACTAGTGGCCAACTAAGTAGTCACTGAGGTAGCCATACCAAATTGGCAACCCCAGCAACATCTTAGTCAGGCAATAGTGTCAAACCTGTGGACTGTGAAACCCCCTGCCACAATGAATAAACATCAAAGAAAAGACACCAGAAATATGAAAAATCAAGAAAGTACATCACCCAAAGATTATATATCTCAAGCTCTAGATCCTATAGAACAAGAAGCTCTTGAAATGACTGACAAGGAATTTCGAGTGATAATTCTAAGGAAACTGAATGAGATACAAGAAAACTCAGCTAGACATCATGAGGAAATGAGGAAAAGTATACAGGACCTGAAAGAGGAAATGTACAAGGAAATCAATGCCCTGAAAAAAAATGTAGCAGAACTTGCCGAACTGAAGAAGTTAATTCAGTGAAATAAAAAACACAATGGAGAGTTTAACCAGCAGGCTTGGCGAAGTTGAAGAGAAAACCTCTGAACTTGAAGATGGGCTGTTTGAAACAACACAAGCAGACAAAAAAAAAAAAAAAAGAATCAAAGGCATTGAAGAAAATCTGAGAGAGATATCAGACAACCTTAAGTGCTCAAATATCCGAGTCATGGGTATCCCAGAAGGGGAGGAAAAAGGAGATTGCATTGAAAACATATTTAACAAAATAGTAGTGGAAAGCTTCCCAAGTATAGGAAAAATCACAGATCTTCAGATCCAGGAAGCTCAACGATCTCCAAAGGTTTTCGACCCAAAAAGGGCTTCTCCAAGACATGTTATAGTCAAATTGGCAAAACTCAAAGACA